TTAATTTTTCGACCCACTGCATCATACTGTAGGGTTGTCTTAGGGCCGTCCTTGGCACTTGATATAAGCTTGTTCATATTTTCTAACAGTTGTCGGATGCTAGTATAGTATCCGCTTCTCAAAGAAAAATGCCATCTCATTAGCAATTTCAAAATATCCAGGAGAAGTTAATGTGTGCCAACTATGCGGATACTGTATCTCTGCTAGCCCTACTTCCCATGACCCTGGAAGATCCAACGATCTTGCTAATTGTATAGTGAAATTAGAATTTCTGTTTTGGGGGAAAATTGCTGCTGACGCATTGCTGGGAAGGGTGATGTAAAACTCTGCCATATCAAAGATGTTGTACTTCAGTCTCCTTAACCCAACTGTTGAACTTCTCTGGCCATCCAGTCCATTTGACTAGAAATTCTCTGTGTCTCCCCCGCCCTCTTTTTTGGATAATTTTCTCTATTCTGTATATGCGCTGTTGGTCAGCAGGAACCTTTTGGAGCTCCTCAAAGTAAAAAGCCCCCTTTACAGGGTCACCAGTGTAATCATTTAATCTATACACCGCTCTTTCCCCCCTTGTCTGCAGTTCTTTGACGATGAATATCTCATCCGTATAGGTTTGCTGATAGCCCTTTTCAAACTTACCCTTCAGTCTGGATACCCTGACATGATCCCCCATCTTAAGACATTTTTCCTTTCTTTTTCTTTTTAAAGTTGCCCCATAAAGCCTCATCCACACACCCCTTTCGTTAGACAAATTTACGGTGTTAGGAGCAGTACCGATGCTACGATGGTAAGAGCTATTGTACCCCTGAATAGTATCTGCTAAAATGTCCACATACCGGTGGGTATTTCTAGCTGTGAAATATCTCCAGAGTTTGTTTTTTAGGGTTCTATTAAACCTCTCTATAACGGCTGCTTTAGTTTCGCTATGAGTGACAAAATGATGAATGCCGTAACGTGCTAAAAGTTTCTTCAGTGGAATATTCAAGAACTCTTTACCTGCATCTGTCTGTAATTTTCGGGGTGCACGTCCTGTTTGAAAGATATTCTGGAAAGCGGATGTAACTTCCCTCCCTGTTTTATCAGATAAAGGGGAGGCCCAGGCATATTTAGATAACACATCGATAACTGCTAAGATGTACTTTTTTCCATGATTCTCTTTAGAAAATTTGGAGACATCTATGAGGTCAGCCTGCCATTGATGATCTAAGCCAGACACTACTGTTTTATTTCTAGGAAAATTAATTCTTGCAGGCTTATGAAGCGTATAAGCGTCTTCCCCTGACAGCCACGTCTTGACTTGCTTCATGGTCAGGTTTTTATCATGTTTTCTAGCTTCCTGAAAAAGGGCATTCACACCTCCATAACTCCCTACACACCCCGGAGTATAATAAATACGACTTAAAAGCTTTTCATGCATCGTTATACTGAAAGACCACTGACAAATGTTCAAGTGTTGACATTAACGCAGTCTTTTATTGGTTATACAGAATTCAGAGGGCGCACAGCCCCGCCATCAGAAAAATATCCCTCATCACCACTATCAGAATCAGAAGATAAAGGCCTATAACACGCTATTTTATAATACTCTGGCCCGCCTGTGCCCCATAAATCACGTCCGTAGTCACAAGCAAACCAGTCTTTACACAAATTGCAGCTCTTTAACTCACAAGGTAGATAGTGTGGTCTCTGGGATAACTCATAATCCCTGTTACAGTCTAGATCAGAAAAATCTGCAGAAGCTTTCTGACCACGGCGATTATCACAGGAATCTAAAAGCGGGGTGTCTTGAAGTGTTTGCTGTCTAGGTATTACTAATTCAGAGTCTGCAAAATATAAAGCACATTCTGTTAGCAGTGTATCCGCTCCAGCATCATTTACATTATCATAAATAAAAACATATTTACTTACCATTGCTGGGAGATAATGTAGTATCATTCACCATTTCACAGGCTGTCCGGTAAGTACTCTGCATCTCATCGTTAAAGTTACAACACACCATGCTACAGCCATGTAACACAGGTCTGAATAAAAAATTTTCTTTATCATAACCCATGCAACAGATTTTGTTGCATTCTGTTGGCTGGGGCCTTGTATCAGAGTGTCCGAAGCTATCTTTTGCTGTTGGTGTAAAAACACCTTTGGAATCAGAGGCTGCCATCTTCAAAAGACTGCTGGGATTAAATCGCTAGCTGTTCAGGCCTGCCCACACAAACTCCCCTGCCCCTTGCAATGACACGCCCTTGAGCATTGCGCATGCCCAGATCACGGGGAGCATGACATGCCCGGGCATGTCCCTGCCCGCACAAACTCCCCTGCCCCTTGCAATGACACGCCCTTGAGCATTGCGCATGCCCAGATCACGGGGAGCAAACTCCCCTGCCCCTTGCAATGACACGCCCTTGAGCATTGCGCATGCCCAGATCACGGGGAGCAAACTCCCCTGCCCCTTGCAATGACACGCCCTTGAGCATAGCGCATGCCCAGATCACGGGGAGCATGACATGCCCGGGCACATCCCAAACAAGGCCTACCCCTTCTTTTTTTTTACTAGCAGACAGACAGGCATGGCTGCTTGCTGCTTGCCTCTTGTGAGCCTGGTTGGCTGCTTGCCTCTTGTGAGCATTTTAATTCCTGTTAATATTCCTTGTCTTTTGCTATAGTGGGAAGGCGGGCAGAATAAATTTTATTCGGGGTACAAATGGCAAAATATGTGTGTTTAGATTTTTTACAAAGGTAAAAACCAGCTGTGGGTTTTAAAAGGGGCTGTGTTTGTTTGTTTTTCCCCCTGCATTCGAGGAAATGCTTTTAAAACCACCTAGACATAAATACCTTTTAGAAAAAAATATCTTTTAGAAAAAAGGGGTTAAATGCAGGCTCTGGCTGCCTTTCAGGGGCTTCTTTTTCCCCAGCTTTTGAGGCACTGATTTTTAAAACTCCACAAAAATTAAAAGCATCGTTAGGCTAGAATGATTAGAAATAAAAAGCCTTTTTTATTTTTTATTTCACAGCTCCCCAAAGTAGGGCTTGTTTCCCAAAAACACAGGCCTCTGCTAATTATTCACTTAGCTCTTTTTGGTTTTGAATGTCCATAGAAATAGTCTAGGGTTAACAGCTCCCCAAAGTAGGGCTTGTTCCCCAAAAACACAGGCCTCTGCTAATTATTCACTTTACTTAGCTCTTTTTGGTTTTGAATGTCCATAGAATTAGTCTAGGGTTAACCTAATCATGTACCCAGAGGATTGACTGCCAATCTTGATGGGATTAGGCCAAAACGTCACATCCGGAGGGTGGGGGCTGAGCACGTCACTTCCTTTTAGGGCTGTGCCCTGTTGACGTAATCAGCACGTGGGTTTGTTTACTTTGATGACGTCACTGATCAAAAGTGCTGATAATTTTCATTAAAAAAAGGTATACACTACTTCTACTCCCCTTCAATAAACTACAACCTTCTTTCTAAAGTAGTCACCATGTTGTTTATTCCTGGCTTGGACTGGACTCTTGATGAAGACTTTTCCTTCAACACATTTGTAAACTAGATTAAGAAGGAAATGGCAAACCATGTCTATATTGCCAAGAAAAAAAAGGACATATTATTAGGAGTTTACCTCAAAGGAGATATTTATCTTATCACAATTCAGTCATTTTAAAACAAAGCAGGCACTCATGCCTTAGTTATCTCCCAAATGGACCATTGCAATGCACTTTACATGAGGCTGTCCTTGTAAAACACGGGTGTCAAACTCACAACGTCACATGACGTGTCATGACGTATTACGTTTTTCCCATTGCCGGCAATGGGGTGCGCATGGTTTTGGCGTGATGCATCCGGCCCACGGGCCGGCAGTTTGACACCCCTGTTGTAGAACATGCAGAAGCTGCAACTGGTTCAAGATGCAGCAGTGCAGGCAAATTATGTCTGCTCGATTGATACCTATCATTCCTCTATTCTGAGAACTGCATTGATTGCCCGTGCTTCCTGTTTCAATATATTAGTTATTACTTAGAAATCCATTTATGGCACGGGGCAGGATATTTGAGGAAATGACTCTCCCCAATTGTGTCTACAGATCCAGCAGGGGAGCCATACTATGGATCCTGCATATTAAATAGTATCATCTGGCCATACCCAGGAAATCTTTTCTGTAATAGTCTCTCTGGATGATCATCTCTGTGAAGATTAGGATACAATAGTACCAAACATTGCCAAAGTCTTTGAAGATGTGATTATGTCACTAGACAAGACAGCAGGAGCATATGGCAGATCCTGTAAGTTGGTTATGTTAATGTTTGTGATTATGGCTAATTATGGATTTATTGTTTTTAACTGTTTTTAGCTACCAACTCATAATGGTCAACCATTTAAATTGAAATAAAAATAACCCTATTAATAAAGCATCTCAAGGCCAACTTAACAATATTAAGAACTAGTCATTCAATTAATGTACTTTAAAAGCTACCTTGCAAAAATTTGGATTAATCCTATATACGCTTGTATGCAAAAAGGGTAACTGAAACATTTTCAAAATGAAATTATTAAAGGAAAGCAGAGCACAGGAGGCGGCCGTGACGTTTCAATAAACCATTCGCACAAGTTGTTCTTGAAACCACAAACGACAGCTTCCTCTCCAAGAATGGCTGTGCTCAATAAAACCTTCTCCCCTCAAAGAAGGTGCTAATCTCCATTCACTAACAGCTTCTCTTTCTGGTCGAGATGATCTGAGAAATCAGAACTTCGGTCATTTTCTCAAAATGATTTTCTATATATTATACTAAACCACTAATCGTTAGACTCGGTTATCTATAACGTAGCCGTATCCCTCACTACGTAACTTGAGTGCCAGGCAAGAAAAAAAGAAAAGAAAAAAGAAAACCTGCGATTTTAAATTACGCGACTGAGAAGCTCACTCAACGTACGCACTCTGACGGGAACCCGCGCACAGCCTCTTAGGCCAGGCAGCCAATCCCAGGACTGATTTGGGTTTCCGCTGACCAATCAGAATATATTTTATTGGCATATGGGCAAAGCTGTCCGTTGTTTTGTGCGCTCTGTGGAGTTGGGTACGGTGAGCGTCTTGCAGATTGTTCCTCCTCTTCCCTTTGGTTTCCCCCCTCCCCTCCGCTTTGTTGCTTGTTCCTTTTCTTGCTGCCTCAGGGAAAAGTCAGAGTCTGGCAATGCCCGAGTTTTTGGCGGACCCGTCGGTGCTCACCAAGGAGAAGCTGAAGAGCGAACTGATTGCTAATAATGTGAGCCTGCCTGGAGGTGAGCAGCGTAAGGATGTTTATGTGCAGCTCTACCTTCAGCACCTCACCGCCCGCAACGTGCCTGGAGTCCCCGCGCAGCCGGACTTCTCCAGTGACGAGGAGAGGGAGCCGACCCCGGTTGCCGCCAGGAACAGAGGGGGTAGTGGTGCTACCGTCGCTGTGGGCCGGGTAAGCGATTTGGCGATTCTTTTTATTTCGCGAATTGCAAACGCGCTTTTCATTTTCTCTTCACGGCCTTCCACTTTGAGGGGGCGGTAGAGTTTTCCCGCTTTCTCTGAGGGGGCGGCGCGTTGCCTTGTCACTGACTGAAGGGGTGGGGAGGGAGAGGAAGAGAAAGGGTGCTTGCGCGTGGGTAAAGCCCGAGTCAACCGCCTTGGATTAGGCAGGCTGACGGGGTGCTTTGGCGAGAGGAGAATGGACTCTCGACGCATTTAAGCAGACTGAAAAAAAGGCAGTTCAGGCCCAAATAGCGTGTAATGTTGAAATGCATACTGAAATCTCCCTGACACCTGCCGCCTTTGTGCTTCTGTTGTAGCGATGCTAATGTAGTCTTTACAGAATTTAAAATTTGTAAGCAACTTGCTAAGACCACGGTTTCATAGTCATTTTTATTTGTGCCCTATCCTCACCTCCATCAATATATTCCCCTGCCCTCCTACTGATAGGAAATGATAGGCGTTTCAGTGTAAAGGTAGTCCTCGACTTACAACAGTTCGTTTAGTGACTGTTCAAAGTTACAACGTACTGGAAAAAGTGACTTATGACCGTTTTTCACACTTAATGACCATTCCAGCATCCTCATGGTTACGTGATCAAAATTTGGATGCTTGGCAACCGGTTCATATTTATGATGGTTGCAGTGTCCTGAGGTTATGCGATCACCTTTTGCGACCTTCTGACAAGCAACATTGAGGAAGCCAGACTCACTTAACAAGTATGCTACTAACTTAATAAATGCAATGATTCACTTAACAACTGTGGCAAGAAAGGTCAGAAAATGGGGCAAAATTCAATAAGTGTCTTACTTAGCAACAGAAATTTTGTACTCAATTGTGGTCATAAGTCGAGGACTACCTGTATTATACTTGATAAAATCAGGTTGAGGAAGGCTGCTTTACTGTATAATGTTCCTTTTGCATTTTCCATGTGAAAGATATGTATTAGGCCAATAGCTTCATTGCTTATTACTGAATTTCTTCTTGTTTTGTTGCTTGTCTAATACTTAGGGTTTACTTTACAAGAATAAAAGCATCTTATATAAAATGTAATGTTTTTCAAGTTAATCAGTAAAATAATTTAAAATCTTTTTAAAGATATTAAGCATATTAGGAAAGGCCTCTCTTGCTAATCTTAACATGGTTCACAGTAGGAAAGAGGGTTCCATAGCTAAAGCATCAAGCCATTTGGCTTTAAAGATCAAGAGTATTGTCTTAAATTGGGCCCTATACAAAACTGATAGCCAGTGAAGATCTAATGTAAATTACTAAGTCCAGCTATCTCAAGAAGAGTTGTACAGTTCTTGGCATACTACTACAAAGTAGTCCTTGACTAACAATCTCAATTGATCCCAAAGTTTCTGTTGCTAAGTGAGACATTTGTTAAGTGAATTTTGCCCCATTTTATTACCTTTCTTGCCACAGTTGTTAAGTGAATCACTGCAGTTGTTAACTTAGTAACAAGATTGTTAAATGAATCTGGCTTTCCCATTGACTTTGCTTGTTAGAAGATCGCAAAAGGTGACCCCAGGATACTGCAACCATCATAAATATGAATCAGTTGCCGAGCATTTGAATTTTAATCATGTAACCATGGTGATGCTGCAGCGGTCATAAGTGTGAAAAATGGTCATGTTTTTTCAATGCCATTGTACCTTCGAGCTGTCACTAAATGAACTGTTGTAAGTTGCGGACTACTACCCTGCTTTAAGAGAGGCACCTTGAGAAGGGGAATAGTGGAAGCTTATCTCAAGGTTAGATTGAAGCAATTGCAGCTTCATATCTAAATGGTAGCTTATGAGCTGTCTGTAAATCCATTCATCTTATTCTTTCAGTTCCTACTGTATATGAAAGAATGCTAGAGGCAAAATGGAGTGAGCAATTGAGACAGAGATCATGCAGGTTTAGGAACTCACCCATAGTTTCATATAGTTAGCAATATCTGGGTTCCTACAGCAATATCTTGAACATGACATTAAACTGTTACAGATCTCAGTGTCACCAGCAACTGCAATTGTTTCTTAGTAACCCATAATTTCTATAAATCACTGCCCTTATTTAATCAGATTTGCTTCAATTCCTTCCTTCTGGATCTTCATTGGGGATTCATTTGATATAATGAACTGATTTTCTTGCCTACCTGGCTTTGCTTTTGCTTGACTATCCTTGGCTTGTAAGGAATGTATTGCTGCTTCCGTCATAAATGGGACAGAGCATGTTCATGATACCATCTTTCTAAAGTTTATTTAGCAAGTTCAGAGTGTTTTGCATTATTTAAATATTTGCTGCATATTTAAAGGCAGTTTATAGTAAATCCAGTAATTGGAACAATTTAGAACACTTAATATATACATTACTTTTTTTACAAACGATACATAGTAAAATAGCTAAGCTATAACGAAAAGGTAGAGGGAAAAACAGCATAGCGGCATTGAGAAAATAAAGATAGTGAAGATGGCACTAGGCATATATCACTTGAGAGGGTATTCTAAATTAGACAGTAGCCAGTAGGGAAAAAAATGCTCTGCATAGCCATCTACCATGTGGTTGTAAGTCATATTATTGGGAGGGAAATGTAGGGAAAGATGTTACTTCAGATGCTGTAGTTTCAAATTATGACAAATTACTTTAAGATTAGCATCTCAAATTCAAATCAGAAACAAAATGTATTAACTATCTTCAAAGACAGCCCCATTTATGGTGCACTACAGTAATCTAAACAAGTTACTGTAACAAGGCTGTCTCTTTCTAGTATGATCATACTGGCATACCAGTCTAAGTTAGTAAAATGTGCTTCACACACAGATTATTTATATCTTTGGTGTCAAAGATAGATCCATAAGTATCCCCAAAATGTGAAACTGATCCTTTTCAACAGTGTAACTCCATCCAGAACATAATGAATTCCTTTACTGTGAGCTGATTAACTATTTACTAACTAGTAATTTACTACTAAAATTAACTATTTACTGTTGTGCAGCCTCAGCAGAGTTTTTTTCATTGACCATAGTCAATTGGCCCTTTTGCAGTTCTTTTCAGCATATCCAGCTGGTTGCAATTAGTATATGATAACATTTTTTTCTAAATGATTTTACTAGCAGGGTCATAAAGTTATTAAATAGCATGGAGAATAAAGTGGAATCTTTTACAATTGCATACTGTAAATACAGAGTCAAGGAGAAATATCTTAATTGATGACAGAACCTAGCAGAATATGATGTTTAACGCATTAAGTTCATTGTGTAAAATGGATATGCTTCTATCCCTCTTCTTAGGTTTGTTTATATGACACTGTCAGAAAAGACTTTAGGTGGATCTTGAAAGATAATGAGGCTTTGTGCATAGAGGTTAAGGAACTGAGAGCTCAAGTAGTGTCAGTCCTGCCAGGTGAGAGTCATAGTACAAAAAGAGCACAGGGTCCTGGAACTGAACAAATAGTCACATAGATACTGCTGCTAAGACCATGAACTGAGCCATGTACATGAGCAACTCCTTGCAATAGGACAATTATATCTCATTAGGACTAGGTATCTTAATCTCATCAGAAGGGTGTTAAGAGCAAAAGGCAAAATCTGGCAAAAACCTAGAACCAAATATACTATCAACAATTGGGACATAGTGCAGGGGTCAAAGGCAGAAACATATGGGCAGAGGGTTGATACAGGCATGAAACTACACAGAATTGGAACATAAAAATACTGTTATGAGAATTTGGGTTGGAATAAAATGAGAAAGAAAAGTGATGTTGTCAGAGTTTATTATAGTCGGCCTAGATAAGTAGAAGATATGAATGAAGCATTTCTATCAGATAATTGAACATTCAAAAAGTTGCCTGAAAATATTACAGGTAGTCCTTAGGTTACAATGGCAATTGGGATTGGCAATTCTGTTATTAACCATTATGTGACCATATTGCTTAGCAACAGCAATTCTGGCAGTCTTGGTTGCCATTGTTAAACAAGGATCACATGGGTCATTAATCATGTGATCATGATTTCCAACTTCCCCATTGACTTTGCTTATGCAAAGCTTTAGGGAACATTGGAAATTGCGATCATGTGGCTGTGGCTTGTTGCAACATCCAGAACTCTTAAGGACCCCTTGTAAATCCTTCTCATTCAGCACTGTTATAACTTTGAATGGTTGCTAAATGTATGGTCATAATCCAAGGACTAACAGTAGATTTCAGTTTCTTCCACATTTGGAAATCTAGCTCTGCCAAGAGGCAAATCCAATAAATTCCTTTTATTTAATCAGTTTTCATTTTAAATTCAGTGAAACCAATACACCATTTTTAAAAAGATTAACTATTTATGTCCCACTACTAGATGTTCCAATTTTTTAGTTCATAAGCTGTAACTTTGAAAATATCCTTTAATATTTTATACAGATAAGATGTGCATTTAGTTTTGGACATCATGTCCATTAGATGAAAAATATCTCAGATTTTTTGGAAACAACCAAACTGTCAGCTATATATTAAAATAATCTTGATTGAGTATCTGGTAACTATTGTGAAATAGGGAAGTAAAATTATATTTGAAATCAAGAAAAATCCTTTAAAATAATCACAGCAAAGTAATTGATGTACAGTATGTGATTCCTGATGCCATCCCCAATTCTAGCAGATTATTTCTATCTGTTTCTCTCTCCCTCTCTCTCTCTCTCTCTCTCACTCACTCTCTCACTCTCACTCACACACACACAGCATAAAGTTAAATTTTCATGGGCCTCAACATCAAAGTTCAGTCTACAGGGCCCAAGCAGAGTTGCTTAGGGTCCCAGAAATGAAATTTTCTATGTGATGACAAAACAATTGCCCTGATGGAAATAGGTAAAACTTTCCATCAGGGCCCACAAGCATTGATAATGCTAAATTTTCATTCCACATAAATATAATCAGTGAAGTACTATACATTTTTGCGGATAAGCCCATCCACAGATAAGCAATTC